AGCAGGAGTGGGCCGGACGCTATCTGGGAGATTCGCTGGTGGACCAGACCCCCATTCCTGCCAGCTTTGCATCCAGGCAGGGACTTTCCATTTCGGCTGATCACGAGGGCCGGTTTCCCATCACACGTTGCTTTCTCCTGGCAGCACTTCCATAATTCAAACCAAGGCATTTCAGCACAATTGTTCCGCTGCAATTTATCTTCTATCGGAGCTCCCGGGAGGGATCTCTGATCACCTCCACTTGTGCTGCTTCCTCCATCTCTGCCTACATGCCTAAACTCTCCAACGCCGGAAAGGTGGAAAGAAGATGAAGACAAGCGTCTCCGGCCTGCCTGTGTGCCAGAAGATGCGGGTTTCCCACATCACTGCGGAAACATGCTTGGGAACAAATCCAGTGGCTGCACCTTTGTGGGAATCTCTTCCCGGTGAAGGAAGGTAAGGAGCCCTTGAGCTCAGGTCTCCTGGAACGATGGATTCCAGCGGAACGGGTTCGGTTCCCTGGAGGTCTTACGCAGCAGAGCCGAGCAGACCATGGCCTGGAATCCCAGTTGCCAGCATGAAGAGGCACTGCCCTGGGAGGCCTGGTGTTGTGCTTGGCCCAGATCGGGGGCATGTCCACCGATGCATGGGCACACGCTGCCCCGCGGTTCCCCGTCCTTTCAAACGGCAGCCACTGGTGCTGCGAGAAGCGCCTCTGCACCGAGGGCACACACCCATTTAGGACAGCCGTTCCAGAGCTCCCCAAAGCTCTCGCTGATGACCCCCCTGCAGAGAACCAGACAATGCAAAGAGCTTTTTTTGGTAATTTTTATTTGAACACAAGTATTCTGACAGAATGCAAAGTCAAAATTCTCCATTAGTATCAGTATTTACACTGGTGAGAATGGAAATAAAGGTGGTATCCATGTTTCACTTGGTAAAAAGTTTTTTGTCTTTTGTTTTGTTTTTTATAACAAGAGAGAAGGCCCCTAAAACAGGGAACGCTGGGTAAGGATCTGAATGGAGTGAGAATCGCTATCACCATTGCCTAAGTGAACCCCAGGGGTCTGAAGACATCCACAGAGAAAAAAAGGGGGCGGTGGTGGCAGAAATAAACCTATTCAACACATTAAAACCCCATGGTAAAAATCAAGCAAAAGAATGTGATGTTTTCCCCCCAATACATTGCATAAAATACATGTTACTGTACTATGAGAAGCTGGGTTAAGATATATATGTATGACGCATACATATATAAATATACACATTGTAAACAGTGTATTGTTGGTCCCTCTTCAAAAGTTTGTGTATGCTCGAAAAATAAAATATACAAATATAAAAATAAAACTAATGTGAACACTCAATTGAAAACGGAAACGGGAGCATCGTTTCTAAATTTAGAAAAAGGAAACAAAAACACTTGTTCTGCCAAAGAGGGAGATGACAACGCGTTCGCCAGAGTCTGGTCCGCGGAGGAGTGCAGGCATAATTTTCTGAGACCTGGGGCGGGAGTGGAGCCCCTGATACCAGCCGGGAAGGCCCCCAGGCCCCAGAGAGACTAATGAAGGACCTGCCCCATGGCTCCGTGGCCCCCATGCTGAACGGCCAGCCTAGAGAGGAAAATGGGGTCAACCTGGCAGCCGCGGCCATGCTTTCTGTGACCGCGAGACTTGGCGGAGTCTATGGAAACCCACGGGAGCTTTTCCAGTGGGCTTGCGTCAAATGGGCCTGCACTTGGGCTTCAGCATGCCGCTAGTCCACAAGGAGCAGCTGCGCGAGTCCCAGTGCACGGACGCTTCCCCTGCATCGCACCCCAGGGAACCAAGGGTGAGAGAGGCACGGGGAGAAATGCCAGGCGTGTGATGGCCACGCTCTGCCTCCCGTTAGCTACCCAGCACTTAATGCGTCAGAATGCATGAGGTATGAGAAAGCGTTGGCAAAACCACGTAACAAAATTTTGCACAGGCGAACGGATCCTCGCGGTTGGCGGCCAGGCTCTGGGGGACCAGGAAACGCAAGTACTACTCTCTTCCCAATTGGACATCCCCACCCATTCTTTTCCTCCTGAGAAAAAGCCCACGGGATAACTTCGGGGGCTCGTATCACTGCCCTCTGACAACGTGAATTCCTTTACACGCGACCTCCTGACGCGCTTCCGTAAACAAGGCCACCTGTGATGCGCAGGTGAGTTGCAACGCTACCCTCCCCTAGCTGCCTCCCGAGGAGGACCGGGATGCACCTGCGAATGGGTACTGTGTGTGTGTCCACAGAAAGGTGTCCTCCGTTTCCACCCCCAGGAGCGGAAGGGAAAACAAAAGCAACAACGAAAGCGCAATCCCAACCCTGCCGCACAATGACAAGGCTCCTCCCGTCACAGCTCAGCAATGGCAAGCGGGAGATGCCGCCCCGAGGAGCTGTAGCCGTGAGGCTCCGCTACCCACGCCCCCAGCTCCGCTAGGCCGAGGCCAGGCCGCTCCCCCTGCCTCCTTTGCCCCCCACCTTAGCGCAACGGGGAGCTTTCGGCATCACATTCCGTTTCACAGGCTTTGTATTTATTCAAAGGCTACTCTTCGGCTGAGGACAGCAGAATTCTCTTCATTTTACATATCCTGAAATGGAGGTTTCCTCATTTGGATTTTCCTCAATCACCCAACCTACCCCCCTACACCTTCCACACCCGAACTATGTTGAACTTTTTTTCTGATTTTAAAACTTTTGATACTATGACAAAAACACATTTCACACTAAGATATCCACGCATCCACAGTGCACAAGCTTGCAGATCTAATGAAATTCTGTTTAAAAAAGGTTAAAAAAAAGTTCTATACAAAGGGCTGGTCTCCCACATTGCTACTCTGTTCCCCGAAATTCTGATCTGTACAGTTTTTATAAACGGCTAAGTCACAACTCTAGGGGAAAGGCCACTGCAGAGATGTGTAAATTCTGGACTGCATCCTCCATGAGTGACTTTACTCCCATATAGGGCTAAGCAAGCACTGGGGTCGATTGCTACATGTGGAACCAAACCTTCCAGATTACACGATTGCTTGCCTGCTTGTGTTGTTTCCAAAGTACTGGAGATTTCCTAAAAACACTGCAGAATCAGTTGCCGGCAGCCCAGGGGTCTGGTTTCTCCACAGCAGACCACTGGTGAATTTCTCGAGGACCACATGCAGCCCTGATCTTACAGAGCTCTGGGGATGCACGGGAGCGCCGTTGCCCTGCTCGGGATGCTGCCCCGGAGCTCCTTTCTGTGCTAGCAAAACCTCCCCATCCAAACATCTCCAGCAGCACCAATGGGGCATTTCGCACAGCGCCCGTCCTTGGTGCATGATCTCCTCCTTCCCCAAATCCTGCCAAGCCCCTCGACGCGGTTAGCTTCGCTACTTTGAACATTGCATAAGCTGAACAAAAACTGTATTTCTGGGAATGCTGCTTAAATAAGGGAGAGTGGGTATTTGTACAAACTTTAATTTCTGAGACCAGCCCTTGACTGTACAACCCCCCCTCCCCAGGCTTGGCTAAGCTTAGAAAGGGATTCCTGGCGAGGGAAGGGCAGACAATGTCTTCGAAAAGTCAAGGAGTGCTTCCTGTGTGCTGTTTGGACCCTGAATGAGCACCGCCACTGAGAAGGTGCTCGAGCTGAAGCCAGTTCCTAAAAGGGGAAAATGTTCAAAAGCTCACAGAGACACACAACTCTGCATAGGAATAAGCCTCCCATCTTGCCAAGGGCTCAAAGCAGGAGAACAAAGGACAGTTCAGCACAAGCTCAGATCTAAGCACACCGATTCCGGAAAGCCAACACATGGGCCCGCTGAACGGAATGGGAATCAGAAGGATGGCGATTCAGAGGCTACGTGTTTTAGCCTTTGGAAAACGCTTCCTGCACTGGAACATTCGCTTCTGGGAAGCTTCACGCGCCCACCAAAACGGCGGCCGATACAGGGCACTAATCTGCCCTCGGAGCTCAGTCTCAACAGGAGGTTTGATGCTGGCTAAATCTGAGCCCTAGCTGGTCCAGAAGCCTGGTGCACAAAGTACTTTGGAAACACGAAACCTGAATCAAATCCTAATCTGGTTGCTTGGGAGAAAGTCTCCCGAAAGCCATTCTTCCTGAACAATTGATGCATTTTGAAAAATTCTTCGACCGCGGCCTTCACCAGTGCAAGCTTCCCTCAACTGTGTCCCAGCCCATCTCAGGAGCACCTCTTTCCCCACAGTCTAAATGGAATTAAACGTTCAGCTCGGCTGCCTACGTCAACTCGCACGGTTCTTCTGCTGCATTGGGGTGATGCCGTCCCCAGATGGGTTGAGGAGGCGAAAGCGGTGCACTGGGAAGAGAGCAGCTCGATGAGGAAACCCCATGAAAGGTCGGTTGTGACAGGATGCGGAAAGCAGTGACCTCGCCTCAGGTTAGAGCAGTCACAGGATCGCTTCTCGTTCCCACCCACCCCTTCTCCAAATCCCTCGACCAGATTCAGCTGCATCCTGGCCACTAAGCTGAGCCTCAGCATTGCATTCCCCAATATATTCGATTTGGCAAGACATTTTCGCGGAAAGCAAGAGGAATTCCTGTCCAAAGCCGCTCTCACCTAAACCTCCCAAGAGACACGCCTGTGTGTTCAGGTTGTGGGTGCGTCTTTCCTTCAGTGTGCATGAGCACATGAGCATTTATAATATGAGAGGGCAGAAGAAGTCAACTAAAGGCAACGTGTTCAGAGTCCCCAGGGGAGCAGTCTTGAGGGAAAGAAGGGGAAATTAACTGTTTGGGCATGATCCAGGAAAGTTAAGTTCCATGGATTTTGGTGGAGGAACGCAGCACCAAAATGCTCACATTTCTTCCATTTAAATCGAATGCTTCCCCTTCAGCTGGATCATGCCCTCGCAGGGACTGCGTCACTGCTTCTCCAGACTTTGCCTCCTCCCTCATGTGTTTAAAGTTCAGGGTATCTGGATGCTGCTCTGAATCAGGACAATTGGTCATGAAGTGGCCCATCTGGATAAAAAGGAGGACAACGTTAAAAGTCTGCTAGATTTTTCTTATTCCAGTAAGAAATAAAAACAATAATAACAGCAATAATAATAATAATTAAAAAGATAAAGGGGAAACACCTACTGTAAACATCCATATTTTAAAATGTCTCCCTTTGCAAAGCAAACATGCTGGCCAACCTACTATCTCTATAGCCTGGTACTTTCTCTCTCTCTCTCTTTCTCTCTCTCGCGCGCGCTCTCTCGCTCTCTCTCTTTTCAAAAAGGCAGCTATTTTACATAGACATTTAAACACAACAAAAGTTTTTTTAAAAACATTTTTTGACTGTAAACACTGGAAGAAAAAAATGCTGGCGAAACAAAACAACAAATTAAAAATGAAAACAAAGAAACAAACCAAAAGGAATACTGCAGTTTGAAATATATACTCTCAAAGCTGCCCGACGGCTTTCTTCCTGAAGACGAAACACCGGGATCAAGAGCAGGGCCCTAAAGGGTCACCGCTGCAGGACGCGCCTCCCATGCAAGCTCCCCGGGACAAACACATCCAAGCCCACCGTGCGCTTCCGGCTCGGTCGGGGGGAGCATGCATGGGAGATGCTGAAGGGCACTGGCACCCGAGGAGGCTGGAAGGAGCACGGAAGTCAGCAAGGAAGGGCAGACACCCTTGGAGGACAGGGCAGTTCAGAGAGAACAGAAGAACAGAAGCGACAGCGGGAGGTGACGCGCTTCAGGACAGGGTTTTATCCAGCTTAAAAACAGACGATTCATGACCAGCTGCACCGGTCAGCACGAGCCGACGGAGCTGCGGCACCTAATTCTCCTCTGGATCTCTTAACCACGCTGCAGTGGGTGCCTGCTTGGTTTGAACCCTGCATGGGAATTTTGTGAGGATTCTGGCATCCTAAGGGGGCTACGGGCCTATCCTCAAAGGAAAGAAGGAAAAGTGTTCCCTTTTTTCTGAAGCGCAAGTGCACACAAGTATTCCCTACCAAAGCAAAAGCCACCCCCAACCCGACAGATTCTCCTGCTGTATACATCTTTTGTTTGTTTTCTTAAAAAAGAGGCAAAGACACAAGAGGGATGAGATGTGTGCTGTGTTTTAAATGCTCGGGTGAAGTTGTTCTGTCAATTTTTAGATTTTGTTTTGTTTTGGCTCCGTTGCCCATCATGCTTTGCTCTCGTTTTCATTTGTTTGCGTAGCTTCGTTGGGCACCGTCTTGACTTCCGTGGCTTGAACCGCAGACTTTTCCTCTACGGGGGTTTTCCTGTGGGAAGAAGTCACCAAAAGACAGGTCACGGAAAGGCGAGAAACTGTTTCAACAAAATGTGGTGGATGGAAAAGCAGAAGCACTCCCTCCCCACCCCCCCAAAAAAAGCACCGTCAGTGCAAGAGAGCACTTAAAACAGAACAGGCCCCAAAGGGGGTTCAAGAGCAGGATTGACTGGTGCCTAAGGGGGCCTCATTTCCTTCTTAACGGAGGCGGCCGCCATGCTGATTCCCACGGCCCGCAGGGCAAAATGAACACCTATCAAGATGGCGACGACTGCAGATCCTGGGGGCATCCTAAGGTGGAAAATGCTACTTCTCCTCCATTGCATCTTCAGATACAACTTGAGAAGCAGCTTGAGAAAAAAGCAGCCAGCAAGAGCTAGAAGGGCAATCGCTGCTCTGGGAAAAGTCACCACTCTGATCCCTGGAAGACTCAAGCCTCTTACCTTGCTTCTATTTGTGTGCCAGCAAAGCACATACTCTCAACCATTTTGCAAATGTAAACACTAAGCAACACTAAAATAAAATGAATACATAATTATAGAAATCTCAATTGAAACATTCTCGGTATAATCCCTGGTAACAGAATTAAAACGGCCGTGGCAAGGCCGCCACGGATTCAAGTTCCCATTCTTGTCCTAAATTCCAGCCTTCCTACTGGACTCTTCTGGCACTTTTGCTTCTCTGAAATTCTTCAGAACAATCTGGTCCTCCAGTCTCTTTTTTAGCCCCATTGGAAGACATGTGTTAAATTTCTCAGGGAGGAATCCTATGCGTGTTCAGGTGGGCAAAAAGCCCCAGTCCCCTCACCATTTTCCCTGTCTAAACATGCACAGGATTTGCCCCTCTGATGGCTTGGAAGGGGCAATTGCGACTTCTGCCTCAGTTCCTCAGTTCTCTCATCCCTTTGTGTCCACACAAGAACTAGTCCTGGGATTACATTATGTGGGCAGCTCCCCTAGGACCTCTCCTCTATGAAAACCGAGGCCCACCCCTGCAGCGTCCTTTTCCTCTACCCCTGCTGAATTTCATCTTAGCTGGCTACCTAGCTCAGGGGAAGAGCTGCAACGACACACTTTTTGCCATTGAGCAACTGGATGGAATCGTCCACCCGGAGGAAAACCCATCTTCTTTCTACTCACGCAATGAAACTAATTGGCCAACCTGCTCTTGCAAAAGAGCCTGCTCTCAGATCTGGGCACATGCACAACCCCAGGTAGTATATATCATCTGTCTGCAAATTCAGCTGATTTCAAAGTCAGCACGTGGCAAATTCTGGCTTCCTGGCAGCTACGCATGGTCGTCTCATGTCACGTCTACTGTAGTTCCCTAAACTGGAATTGGACAAAACTGCTGGGAAGACTTGGAGGGGAAGGAAGGATTGCGAGAAGATCTGTAGGCCTCTCTCCCAAGTCGCCCAGCATGACAGAGAATTGGCTTCCAAGCCCACGGTTAAGGCGGCATGGTTAGACAGCATGGTTAGAGGAACAGCCTGGTTAATCTGGGACACACACACAGCAGGGGAGCAAAACCCCACCGGAAAGGAGCAGGGCACAGCAACGGGGGGGGGGGGTGAGGTGGGACGCCTACTCTGTCTCCACGGGTGCCGATGACGCGGAGCTCTCCGGAGCAGAAGGCGCAGCTTGGCCTCCGGGCGTGGTGGCAGGGGCCGCCGTGCCCAGTGCGGCAAAAACATCCTTGGCCAGGTCAATGTCTGGGGTCCTGAAGGTCCCTTCGTCCATTTTAAAGTCCTCGTTCTGAGCAGGGTTTGCGGTGGACGCCCCCGCGCCCGCCTCCGCCTTCTGGCTCGCCGCACTCTTGGCCGCCTCTGTCGAGCTCTTCGCCGCGCTCGGCTGCGTGGCCTCCTTCTCCGGGCTTTTGGCGCTGGGGGGGCCCGGCTTGGCCTCCGCGGGGGCCGGCGCACCGGCAGAGCTCGGGGGTGCCGGGGGAGGGGACTTGCTCGTGGGGGTGGGGGCGGGCCCCTTGGGCCCCTCGGGGGCCTTTGCGGAGGAGCTGGGGCTCAGCACCGTGCCTTGGGGGGCCAGGACCCCAGACGGCAGGCTGCCGGGGGCGGGGGCGGGCGTGTCGCTGAGGTCCACCAAGGGGGCCACTCTGGGAGGGGAGGTGGGTGGGGGCGGGGCGGTGGCCGCCGGCTTGGGGGGCACGCCCTGGCCGGGGGCCACCGAGTTGGCGTCGGGCACGGGCGTGGGGGGGAGGGCGAGGCTGGAGGTAAGGGTCGTGGTCTCGCTTGTGGGGCTGCTCTGGGCAGTGGCAAAGGTTTCAGTGACAGTGTCAGAGTTAGTGGTGACGGTGGTGATGGAGGGCATCACGTCCTCGGTGGCCGCCGTGGTGTCGGCAGGATGCCTGTGAGGTGGGGGGAGCGAAAGGGGGGCAGAGCAGGGAGTGGGAAAGGGGGGAAGAGAGAGGGAGAGAGAGAGAGAGAGAGAGAGAGAGAGAGAGAGAGAGAGAGAGAGAGCACATGAAGCTGGACGAGTCAGTGCAGAGGCGGACACGGCATGCGGTTATTTGACGCAGGGAGAGAGGGGGCGCGAAGAGGGACAGCGCAAAGGCGAGAAGGAGGACCGGCCTCTCCGTGTCAGCTGTGGGGGAGGCCGCCAGGGAGGAGGGGGGTCTCGGGAGCGCCAGGAAGCCCCTCCTCGGCTCGCCGCCCGGCAATGTAAAGTGCTGCGGCTGTGGGGGCCCTTCCAGCCGCGATGCTGCTGATTCTGCTCCGGAAACAAGCACCAGGGGTCCTTCGGTGTGGCCCGTGCCGTTCGGGCAGCACTGCGGTGCCCCAGCCCGCCCCATCGCCCCCAACATACTCTGGCTCCGTCAGCGGCGTGGTCTCATTGGGCTCGGCGTGCTTGCCTCCGTCGTGGTTCGGTGTCCGCTCTTCCTCTGTCCGCACTTCCACTATGGGCTCCTTGGATTCGTCCTTCCTGCAAGCGGGAGGCGAGAAGACTCTGGCTGTCAAGGCAGAGGCGCTGGCCTGCAGGGCTCCTCCTCCCCCGAGCGTTGCCCGCAACGGGGGCAGCCCTCCTTTGCCCGCCCCACGTGTGAGCTGAAGGCGGGCGAGCAGGCTTCGTCCGGGCGGAAAAGGCCAGCCCCGCCGGAGGCCAAGCTGGAGGCTTGTCCGGCCGAGGGAACCAAGGGGGGCAGGCCCAGCAGTGCACGGAGCCCCGTCGCGTCGCCACCAGCACAGGCCACAGCAGGTGCCCCCCCGCCCCGCCACCCCACGGCCAGCTCCCCGGCTTCTACGCAGGCCTTGCAGGAGAGCTCGACCGCTTGGCCGTCCAGGAAGGCCGACGGGCTAGTGGCTGCTGGGGGAGATGCTGCGGCTGCGCCTTCGCCAACAGCCGGCTTGGCTTCTGTGCCGGGCAGGGCAAGGACTCCCCTTCCCCATGGCAGCGCACCGAAGAGGCCCGCGCAAGGGGCGGCCAAGCACTCGGTCCCTCTTGCGGCAGCCACATCCTGCCCAGGAGGCGTTCGCAGCTGCCCAGGGCCAGAGGCGAGTGTGGACGGGCCATGTGGACAGCGCCGGGAGGCGAGGCTCAGTGCTCAATACCCTGCTGCCCCAGTGAAAAGCTCTCGGGAAGCATGCCTCCAAACGGACGGGGGAGCCGCCGCGGGCTGGTGAGATGGCCGCGCCGGCGTGCCATCGGGCAGTCTCCACCGCTCAGGGCCGCTTGGGAGGGTCTGCAGAGGAGTGGTCCTCACACGGCTTCCTGCAGGAGCAGACCGCCCTCCCGGAGGTCCAGGTTCCGGAAGCCAGGCTGGGGAAGAGCCTGTGCCGTGGCGCTGGGGGGACGGGGGGAGGGAAGGAGGACGGGGACGCAGTTGGGCAGGGGCTGCTGCTCCTCCAGGTGCTGGCCGACCGGCCGGCCTGCCCAAGCACAGCTGCTGCCCAAAGAGAGCATGACCCACCAGCAGCCATGTGGCCCAGCCGACGCCGGGATGGGGAGCCGGGCTGCCTCCCCTGAAGCAAATCCGCCCCCCCCCCCACCGTACAAGGAAGCGCAGGCAGACTGCTACTCACGAGAAAGCCGCCTTGCCCTCTTCCATGTCCTTGCCTTTTGCCCCCGGGCCCGACTTGCCACACAGGTTGACGGCAATGCACATGAGAAGCCCGCACTTGTTCAGGAAGTAGCAGGTGACATCCACGGCCACCAGCAGGAGCACGAAGACCACGACGAGGATGCCCACGATGGCGGCCGTGCCCAGGCCCGCGGCAGGGCTTGTGCTGGCTTCGCAGACCGAGGGCGGGAGGGAGAGAGACGCCGTGGTTAGCAGGGCCGCCTCGCGCGCACTCACGCCACTGGCCTGCCCCCCCCGGGCTTGGGCGGGTCCTGCCCTCTGGAGGCACGTCCTCCCCAGAAGGCAGAACAGGCAAGGACTTGGGGGTTCCCTGCACAGACTTCACCTGTGTGTGTGCAAGGGAGGACGCGACACACAGGGCCGATTCTCCGCCCGCCCACTTGGAAGGAAAGCATCCTCCGTGCCGCCAACCCACGTGCCACTCCGTTGTGCTTGCGCATGGCACGGAACAGCCTCCACTCAACGGGGGCCCCGCAGAGGTTTGGGACTGCAGTCCTCATCGCTGCCGCCTGGCCCTTGTTGCTGGGGCTGATGGGAACTATAGTCCGAAATACCGAAGCGGAGCCTGCTCGGCTCCTGGACCAAGGTCTGCCACACCCTCCCTGAAGCGGCGGCCTGGCTGCAGCTCTGAGCTGTCCCCAAGGGCAGCTTGTTGCAGACCTTCAAATGCTGGCAGCTGGGAAGCAGCTCCTATCATGCATCTCATGGGAATCGCGGGTGCTGAGCTAGAAGCTGGCCCCCAGTCCAAGGTTTTTCAAGCCCTCTCTGGCATGTCACGCACAGACAGAATTTTCTAGAAATATTCTGCTCCAGGTGCGGAGAATCCCCAAACTGTGAAAACGAGGCATCGTTTCCGGGATTGATGAGGACACACACGTGCCTGCAAAGCCCCCGATTTCTGCTCTGAGCCCGTGTGACCAAGCCCCTCCCCACCAAGGTCCATCCAGCTCCTCTTGCCATTTTTAGGCGGCAGTTGGAAACGCTTTCGCTTTTTCAATTCCAACTTGCTTTTCAAGCACGATCCTTACTTTCAAAGAAGGCCCCATCAGGGCTTGCGGCTTCAAATTTTCAATTTCGTACTGTTTTGCATTTACTTTTGCTTGATTCCACCCCCCATCCGCCTGGTCAGGTGTTTTGAAATCGAAAAGCAAGGAAAAGCCACCAGGAGGGCAATGGCAGGCCCACCCGGAGACCCAGCATGATTGGGCCCTTAGGCGCTTGCCCGGAGGTCGAAGGCAGGGCTGGGCCGGGGAGAGCGGTCAGCAGCTGACTGGCAGTCACACCCCCGGCACTGTGTCACCGCAGTCACTTACCCTGTCGGCCTAGATCCAGGCTTAGTCATCCTGAAGGTAGACCAGGGACAGGGCGCGTGCCCTGGGTATTTTTCTGGGTTCTCACCAAAGACCCCTACTCTCACAAATGCACACACATGCACACGGCTTGGTGTTAAATAGGTTTCTATTGCTAATTCTGGGACTGAGAACCTGCAGTTTGGGGTAGTTTTCAGCTCATTTGGATCTCTCTCTAACCTCTCTCTCATGCCCTCTTTGGTTGGCCCCATTCGAATTGCTGGTGGTCAGAGCCCCAAACTTCTCAGGGTCTTGCTGTGGGAACGAGAGCCCCTTCCCACACATCCCCAGGTAAACACTGAGGCCACCCTCAACGCCCTTGTCCTAGATCCACGGAGAACCAGGAGGTGCTACGGGAAAGGCGTTCTTCGTGCGAGTGCCAGGACCGCGGAATGACTTCCCCAGATGGGCCCACCAGGCACCTACTTTGTCTTCTTCGCACTAGGCAAAGATTTCCTCTTTTCTATTAATCTGATGGTTTCCTGGGGTTTTCCCCCTGGTCTTTCTGCTTTAAGTTTTTTCTTTTAAAACATCTCAACACCAATTTCTGTTTCATTTTATGGCTTAATTTTGTTGTGTGCTTTATACGGTATTTGCATTGCTCATACTGCATTTTAGAGAAAGTTTTAGGTCAACCATCTGATGAACAGATAAAATACATGTTGTGTTGCTAAAACACCGCAAACAGCCCAATCCGACGGGCCTGCAGGTGTGAGTTCATCATGGTTCTCTTTTGTGCAAAGTTTTACAGTCGCTGCTGCTTGTTGGGAAGGCATTCTGCAAAAAGCCACTGTGCTACAACAATTTGTACAAACACACTGATGCTCCTCCGGCCTTCCTCCCCCCCTCGCCACCCCGTGAGACAGTCCAGCCTCATGATGCTTCACGGATACGTCTCATATTAACCGACATTTTCTGCCTCCACTGCCCAGAAAAACCAGAGTTCCAGGGAAGCCAGCGTAGGGCAAATAATGTTGCTTCTCTTCTTAGCTTAGGCTGGCAAACTCTGACGTTTGCGTCAGAAGTCCATTAAATGCTTGCAGAACGTCTCCGCCAGCCAGATCAGCTTTCTGCCAAGATACATAATTGAACGAATTCATCACCCTCCGTTCTCGCTGGGTGAGGAAGGCGTGCCATGCGCATAATGTATTCAAAATTCACGCATGGGTTCTTCAGCTGTTAACGGCCTTCTCTCTCCTGCCAGTTGAGCAGACACGTCAAATCTTTCCTCCTCCTCCTCCTCCTCCTCCTAAATTTCCATCATGAAAATCCAAAAGGAGTGATTTTGCACGCCTGCGGCACAGGCCAGTTCGATACCAAGCTGCCCTCCTCACCATAAGTGCGAGTCGTAAGCCGAGATTTGTTTGGCAGCTCTGTTTTTGCACGGTGGGGAGAGAATGCCAGACGCGTCTCTTTCTGAAAGTTGGCCCCGTGACGAAAATATCAGAGGCTACTGACCGTGGAAATGAAAGAGGACCTCAGTGTTTGGAAGCACTGTGCCACACAGGGCCAGACGCTGGGAAGGGACATCACCTTCTAGCTCTGTGAATAGGCCTTCCAGAAGCACCTGACTGATCTATGCTGGACACCAAAGCCTGCATGGGCCTGACTGGACAATGCAGCCCCTTGGCTGGGGAAGCGGTGCGTTTTCCCTTGCTGGAGACATTCAAAAGCATCCGGACAGTCATCTGAGTGAGACAGTGCAACTCCGTGTCTGCACTAGCAAGGGGCTGGACCGGATGGCCTTCTGGCCCCTTCCAACCTTATATTCTATGATTCGGCAAACAAGCTTTTCTGCACGGCGGCCAAGGATGGCAAGCATGTAATTCAGAGCTACAGAGGGGCTGTTCTGTTATCACTGCCCTTTTGATCCTTCCCAGACCACCTTGTGCTGCAGCTTCTTTTCCTGTCCTTTTAAATGGGAGAAGCTGACCAGCCAGCCAACAGTACTGTGCTTGAGGATGGCCAAGAAGGTACCTACTAGAGTGGAGTTTATTTCATCTGGCATTGCTTTTGAGAGCCAGCCGGTGGTTCTCCTAGCCTGCTACTGAATTAATAACAAGTTCAAAACAGTAGCTGAGATGAAGGTGGAAACTACAACAGAACAGAAGGAGTAAGCATGGGAGGAGAGGACAAGCATTCAAGAGCAGGATCAAACTGGGTGTAGGAGCCACTGCTGGAGCCAGCCACCACTGGGGGCAGTGGCACCTCCGCCAAAAGTTTGGTAGGACTTTCAAAGAGCTGGAAGGCTAGCAGCCCATGGGATCTGGGAAACTGCTGACAAAACTGGGAAGGATGGGGGAATTTGTGCCACTTCCCTTAAGACACCATCCCAAGGAAGGAAAAAAGGCCCACAACACGCAGCCCTGTAGGGGCCCACCCCTGGTGTGAACACCGTAACAAACGAGAAGCAAAGTAAGTGACACATCTGGTCCCCTTGCCCCCCAGTACCGCCTCTGTACATCCCTCTTGTGAAAACCATTTTACAAGTTGGCCTCTCTTGCTGATGTTTCTACGGACCTTCAGTGGCAAGTATGTTTTCCCCCTCTGGCACATTCCAGTTGGCACAGGAAACTCACCTCCCTACAGAAGATGGCTGTACCGTGTCACTAACAGAACGAGACGTCCAGAAGCCATGTCAAGCCATCCCCAAGCCCTCCAGTCCCAACCCTGCAGAGCCGGTTGGCGAGGCCAACACTGAGCTAGAGGGACTGAGGCAGCCGCTGAAGCACTTCCGGGCCGAGTTGCACAGGCACGCCATGCCTCTGCCCAAACACTTTCTTTCATCAGGTGGCCCATTCCAACCATAGGCACCCGGTTTCTGAAAGTTTTATTGGGGAACGCTTCCTCTGAACATGCTTTTCAGTGCTGAAACTAGATGCCACCCAACTGGAAGCCACCCAACAGCTAACCATTAAAAAACCAAAAGCACAAAGGGACACAACAGGGACCCATGGTTGAAATCTACGGGTGGATCCTGAGCACCAAATCCGAATCAAGTGCATCTTTCAACTGCTGCTCCCAGGTGTGTTCAGAGCTACCTGACTTCAATGGCAAGTGCTACATTTCATGCAGATGTGCAATCGTCTCCTCAGGACCAGAGTTCCAGGGAAAACAGGTTTTTGGTTTGAAGCAGACACTGAAAGGTTCTCCTTTCAATACAGAAGCTGGACTTACACGAGCAAAACACCTGAGCGGACACCTACGGCACACGGCAAAAACATATTTGGGCTGTGAAATGGGCAGTGCTCTTTGCAAATGTATGAAGAGAAGACAGCACTCCGTGTGTTTTCCTTTTGCAAGGATTCAGCGATGGACTGGCTGCAGATCTTTCATCCGCAAACTCTGCGTTTGCTATTTGCACCCACACAAGAGATGCACATTGACCTCAAGGGGCAGAAACCTCCCTCTGTGAGGCATCTGACTTGGAGCTGAGCACTGCCAGTTCATCGTCCCGCTGGTTCTGGGCAGCCGTTTGCAGAGACGGCTGCGGACGGAGGGGGGGTCTCTCTCCAGCGGTCATCGCAGCCGGAAGCCAAGTCCCAAACGGCTGCCGACAAGGTCTAACCAGGACGGCAGCAGATCCCATGCAGCTTTGCTTTGCAGAGGGAGAGCATTTGGATGGGTCTTGTGTGAGGCTCATGGGCTGATGGCCCTTGGCTGTCCTGACAGTTGGAAAAGTCCTGGCACGCTTGGCCACTCGCACGCACTTGTCCCAGCAGGGAGGGAAGGCTGCCTAAACCCGGTGCCACGTGGCCCCCCGTGAGCACTCATCTGCTGGAGAGGGTGGTACCCCAGGA